AATGCATATTTGTTTGTCATGTGTTGATATGATTTTGTGGAGAAAAATCATCCAATCCAGTTACTTTTCTGAAAAAACGGCCTTTTCAAACATTTTCCTAAGAACGTGTTTAACATTTTGGAACTTTTCGTCCGCTAATGATTTGTAGCTCTGCACATATAGAAGCTAATCTGAAGTCGATGTAAAAGTGGTACGTTCTCGAAAGAAGAACCCTGCTTTCAATTCTCTGTTCGATCCAGTTACGGGTGAAAATATCCGATGCGACTTTTGACGGCTTCCCTTAGTTACAACTATCAATTTATATTGCCGGATAATCGATCGATTTAACTATTGCATTGCTAATTGCATCTGCAGACGCAACTAGTTAAAAGTCCCTTTTTCAACCAGTAATTTAGATGACAACTAGCCGTGTGTGACTCGATTACATATGAAATGTATCCGAGTTTTTTTCATAGATGCTGTTTGCTTTCGAGGTCAGGGATTCACGACGGTATACTATACTTTTTCATCGTATTTTGACGTAAACTTGGCCAACGTATTACATTCGTCTTAAACGACGTCGTGTATGCTCAAATACGACGGTCGTAACGGCTGACGTAATACGTTGACCGGGTTTACATCAAAATACGACGAAATACTATAGTATACGTCAAATTATGTCGTCGTAATTTGACGTATACGACCGTATAGGACGGTCGTAATCATGGACCTGAGTTGGGCGTGTCAGACCATTAGGTTTTGAGCCAAATTAATTGACCAACAGGAGTTTGCTCTGGTCACTGCTGCAGTTATTTAGATCTGTCAGATATCTACTCAAAGGTGTTTATGAATATCAAATCTTTTAAATACATAGAGAAATTAACTGATCCTCTAATGATCCGTATGGGTATGAGATCTATTTTAAAAAACTAGAAAATTCATATACTACATACAGTGTATTTTCAAAAATAAAAGGCATCGCGGTGAAAACTAAAGGAACTTTTGGTCGGTTGATGTGACAGCTGGGTATAATATTTACTGTTCGTCTCTTCACTGTGTAGCAATCGACAACAAGCAATGCGTCGTAGTCACATCGTGAAAGGACTATAGTCCAATGCAAGTCAATATCCGAAAATTTTCAAAAGATTTTCATTCTGAAGCCGAGAAATATTTTATAGTGTCCAGAAAGTTGAAATGTTTTTTCTGTTGTTACTAAAATACCATGTCTATAGGAGACTGTAGTTTTATTTGACTAAGCGATCCTTTTCATGAATATTCAGCGATTTCTATGAACCGAACTTTGAGAATTTCAAAAGCTTTTTATGAATGACCCGAGAAATCTTATTCTTTTTATAAGATCCAAGCAGTACGAAAAGCTATTTTTGTTAATTTATTATATCCTAAACTCGATCCGATCAAGTCGATTATTACCTATTTCTGAATATTTTCTTCTCTTATCCTCTGATATTTTTCTCTTACAAAGATATTAACAAACGTAAGAAAGATTTATTGTAGTTTATTTGATTGTAGTACAGTATCGTGTCGGAGAGTAGAAATCGTTACTTTGGTGATGTATTGTGTAAGTACAACACAAACATGTTAGTGATTCGTTTTTATGCTTTGACATTGATTCATACACCTTCTGCCTATATACAAATGTTTTATTTGTTAAGTGAAAACTGAAACGAATCGAACTGACGAAAAACAACAGCATCATAGGTTAGATTATTCAGAAAAACATTTTTCATTATGTGCTATATCGGCTCTGTTGTTTCCAATTGTAAATTCTTTATCAAAAGACCAAGATCTATCGGACAAGTTCAACGAAATCCCACCTTTTATGCATGTAAGACATACAAGTCATTTTTGCTAGTGAATGATTTAGTTGATCTAGCTGCAACTTTGATGGTGTTTCCATCATTCAAATGTTCAGAAACAGTTTTCGGCATATATAGATTTGATCCATCGTTTTCACTACTAATAGGCATTATTGACTGAAACCGATGCACTTTTTCTCTTATTAATGTAGGTCACGCTAAATTTCAAGAAATTGCGTTGTTTAGATCTGTTAGTGTTTACTTATTTGATTGTAGTACAGTATCGTGTCGGAGAGTAGAGATCGTTACTTTGGTGATGTATTGTGTAAGTACAACACAAACATGTTAGTGATTCGTTTTTATACTTTGACATTGATTCATACACCTTCTGCCTATATACAAATGTTTTATTTGTTAAGTGAAAACTGAAACGAATCGAACGCTCGAAAAACAACAGCATCATAGATTAGATTATTTGCCTCCAGCACAATACACAGAACCGATAATCAATTTAAAATATGGCGTTACGTGAAGTATTCATTATGCTGACTACATCACTATAGAAACGTTGTTATCGCGGAAACTAACGTCTAGGAGCTTTCAGTCCAAAACAAAAACGTTTTTAGTTATCAATAGTCGAACAGTTCTAGTTTTATATTCTTAGTGACTTTCAGATTCATATCTGTTAAATTTTACTGTAAAAAGTCCCTTTGGTTTTGGACCTATTTTTACCTAAGTGTTTTCGGTAAAGTCGCGTTTCGCCAATACTTCTAAACTATTGGGGAACTTCCACACGACATTCGCCGATTGGTGAACGTCTATTTGCGAAAGTTGAATAGGCGAACGGCGACAAATTCAGTGTTTTCCAGCGTTCCTTAGCACGTTGATAACAAACTCTTTTTACTATTCAATAGGCTATCTGTCAAAATGTATTCATCTAACTTCGAATACTGACGAATGTCGAATAGCAATGAGCTTCAAATTATGGGCTAACGATCATACACATATTCTGTAGAAAAGCTGACTTTTATTTAGCAAAACTAAGGAGAGAACTGAAACTGAATTTTTTTATAGCGTTACATGCTAATTTATCCGATTTTTCAGTTATTGCTGTTAACGTAATAAAAAAGAAACTCAAGTAATTCATTTATATACTTTGAAATTCATTCACACAACTTGTGGCTATATAAAAACATTTTATTCTATAAGAGAAGGCCGAAAGAAATCAAACACTCGAACTGACGAAAAACAACAGCATCATACATTAGATTGTTCGCCTCCAGCACACATTTCGTTACTCTTTACTTTCTGGCCCCATATTATGACATGTATAACTGCCAAACGTTCTTGTCAGAAAACGTAAAGAGTATGCATCACGGCTTTCATTTGTCACTTATCATATGTTCAAATCTATCTAAACAAGGTCTGACAATGCTCTGTAGTTTCTACTGAAAACGTGCTGTACAGCGTGAGCATCCTGGCGGACTTTTCGCCAGTAATCGACTGTTAAATTTTTCTTACAATAAAATTTAACAGATATGAATCTGAAAGTCACTAAGAGTATAAAACTAGAACTTTTCGACTATCGATCACTAAACATGTTTTTGTTTTGGACTGAAAGCCCCTAGACATTAGTTTCAGCGATAACAACGTTTCTATAGTGATGTAGTCAGCATAATGAATACGCCACGTAACGCCCTGCTTTAAACTTACTCAAATTTTGACAAAATGTTCGTCTACCTATCTGTGAATCAGCGTGTCGAGTTACATCGAATCGTGTATAACATAATAACTGTTGGATCAAATAACTATCGATCTAAGTTTATTCGCATGAACCAGCAAGACCGATTTTTCTGAAAACGTTTATTTTTTCTTGATGAGCATCAGATGTGACTAAGCAATGCTAATTGTTGATGAAAAAACAGTTTGCGAGCAAAAACTTCTGATGTCCGTCTGCTATTAGAAAACGCCCACTGTGGGCTGTGTATGAAATATTAGAGTTTCAAATGTTCAACCATTCATCGCAGAACTATGATATTATTGTTGAAGATAATGTACGAATATTTAAGGTTAATCGACACCAAACTTCGTCAAATTCATCACATTTTGGAGAGAAGACTCACTGGAGATTATAAGTTTATTTAGAATGAAACTTTACTTTTCAACGAATAAGCGTCGAATGCGTTCTTCTCGTGTCTATGAAGAACGGATGCTCTTTGTTTTCTATGTATTTCATAATATTTTGTTCAACAGGAATGTCTAGTCTTCCACAAAGGCCAATAATCGACTCATAATATGGCGACAGAAGTAAAGAGTAACGAAATACAGAACAATTTTATCAGTTCTGTGTATTGTGCTGGAGGCGAATAATCTAATCTGTGATGCTGTTGTTTTTCGAGCGTTCGATTCGTTTCAGTTTTCACTTAACAAATAAAACATTTGTATATAGGCAGAAGGTGTATGAATCAATGTCAAAGTATAAAAACGAATCACTAACATGTTTGTGTTGTACTTACACAATACATCACCAAAGTAACGATCTCTACTCTCCGACACGATACTGTACTACAATCAAATAAGTAAACACTAACAGATCTAAACAACGCAATTTCTTGAAATTTAGCGTGACCTACATTAATAAGAGAAAAAGTGCATCGGTTTCAGTCAATAATGCCTATTAGTAGTGAAAACGATGGATCAAATCTATATATGCCGAAAACTGTTTCTGAACATTTGAATGATGGAAACACCATCAAAGTTGCAGCTAGATCAGCTAAATCAGGCTCTAAGAAAAATGTAGGTTATCTTATTATCTTTCTTGCAATAATTCTATGTTTGTAGGTTTTTAGGGACGATCAGTATCGCCCTCAGTTGTTAGATTAAACCATAAAAAGCACCGTAAAATCCAAAGCAAAAAATCGTAACTACCTGTGAATTAAAATCACTAGCGATATTAAGAAACTTTCGTTTTTTCTTAGATTTATAACAAAAAAATGTCTTCTGATCAGTGCAGCTGTATTCATTGTGTGTGCTCTAGCAATTATCCTTCCAATCATTTTTCTCGTTGTGAATAAAACTACTGGTATGTGTAAAGAAACAGTACAATGAGCTGATGTCACTGAGCGTATACTGCGAAGAGAGAAAAGCGAAGTTTTCCATTAATCTTAGGAAGTTTTTTTAGCAACCATTACAACTACTACTACGATGTCTCTTCCCGCCTATGTCATTGCTTCGTGGAACTTCGATGGTAACGTTAATGACCTATACTCAGTTTATAACGGCGTTCTAGTTAATTCTCCAACGTATACTACGTCAACATACACAGGTTATGGCAATTCACTCAATTTAACATCGTCATTAAATCAATCCGTTGTTATTGCAACACCTTTTTTTAACTTATCATACACGAGTTTCACAATCGAGATCTGGATATATCCAACAACGAGTCTCGTTGGAGATAAGGGAATACTGGGTCAGTGCCAATCGTCGGCAACAGCAGATCAATGTTTTTTTATGATTTTGAGAAATGGTCGAATAAACGCGGGCTTCTTTTTGAACGATGTATCCGGCAATACAGCTTTAAGCTTAAATACATGGTACCATGTTGCATTTGTGTACGATTATTCTGCTGGAACGCAAACTCTTTATGTACAAGGAGTTGTTGATACAGCAACGACGGGTGCGAGTCCGTATCAAGGACAAAATGGTTCAATAACCATCGGTACAACTCAAATAAATCAACCATCAAACTATTTTTCAGGCCTCATCGATAGAATGACACTCAAAAACCGTGTTACAACAGCGGCTCAGATTCTCCAGGATGCATCACTTGTTGCTTATTTTTCTTTCGATGTGAGTCAAAGTTATGATAGTGGATCGCTTGGATTGAACGCTACTCTTTCGAATACAGCAACAATTGCTGGTAAAGTGGGACAGGCTCTGAAATTTAATGTATCCTCTGCTTATTTGCAAGCGTACGGCTTTTTACAATTAGGTCAATCAAATCAGCCATATTCAATCGCTATGTGGGTAAATCCAACATCAATTCAAGGCGGTTCTCTACTGCACATTTCAACAAATTCTCTCGGCACGGGCTGGTGCATTGATATTATGGGACTAACATATACGGGTCAAATTGTGACAAGTACATACTTATCCGGCAATTTTCCGGGAATTATTGGGCCATTTTTGACTGTAGGCCAATGGGTGCATGTTGCTATGACTTACAGTACGACTTACGGCGTTCAGCAGTATATCAACGGTGTACTGTACGCAGCCACTGGCGCAATTTCCTACACAGCAAGCAATGCAATCAACTACATCAATATTGGATGGAATTTTAACAGCTGTGGCACTGGAGCAGTAAGCGGAGGTTCGTTTCAAGGATCTGTAGATGAGGTTCAAGTTTACCGACGGGAACTGTCGTCATCTGAAGTATCTTCATTAGCTAACCCATAAGAAATCAGACAAAGATTAGGCAAAACAGACATGATCCAGCTTTTCAACAGAGATTCTTGTGAAAAAATCCACAGTTGTCCAAAAATTCTGAAACACACACCAGTCAATTCGATGCTGATTCCGCATATGACATCAGTTTTGCAAAAAATGGAAGGTTGACGGTGAAAACTGCAAAATACAAGTGAATTTCCTTGTTTTTTGGTATTTGTTTCAAAAAAATTTATTTTCTCCACAACGGAACAATATTTTCCAAAACCAATACTTAACTTTTTCGTGCTATTATGGTGAGTATAATGACATAAAAATGTTGGCTTTATCTCTTATCTAGGGAACCTGAAGCATTTATCAGAGAGGGAAGGGTAATTTTCACTATTAGCGAAAGACCAACAATTTTCAGGGTCATATGATATCTGAGTAACATCAAAAGTATATTTCTCAGATAAATTTTTTCACGTGGAATAAGAATAAAAATGTGTCAAAATTAACAAAAAGCAGTACATGAGACCTTCACGCTGATTGTTTAAAAAATAAGCCGCTTTTTCAGGTTCTAAGAAATATCAGTTTTTTCAAATTTTCGATCTTCAAAATTTTTTTTCGGAAGATTAAATCACACATATTCTAATACAACTCGACGAGTTCTATCCAATCATATATAAATATCGCGATAAAAAAGTTTTGTTCGATCTTTGAATTAGCGGCACCTTAACCATTTTAAATTCAAACCGATTTCACTCATTAAAAATAAATGTTTTTTCTCGTGAGTCGCTCAGTATTTAGCCTCTTTTTTGGTGATAAATTTTTCTCTAAAATTTATCACTTGAAGAAAAAAGTTTATACCATTAAATAGCCCGCTTATTGAAGTATATTTGGCATTATTTGAACGTTAAAAAACCTCACTTTCAATTTTTACGCCAAATGTCCACGTGATTGCTCACTGTGAGTTATAATCTAAGAAAGCTATGATCCAATTTCAACAGTGAAAAATAATGTTTAGCAAGTCGTTGTAAAACAAGAAAATTACTTCTCAAGAAGATTACCTCATATCCGATTCCAATTTACACACAATTTGTATTGTATCATAGCGATGTATTATATTTTCAACGCTAACCTATGCTTAAATTTATCTCTAAGGTATTTAAATGCGGTATGGTGATGAAACATTTTATCGTGGCTGATAAATATTTATTAAACTCATGCTACTCTTGATTTAAAAACGATGCTAACACGGTACTTTATGTATTTTGTTTTTTATTGGAAAACAAAATAGTTTTTTAAATTAACTCCTGAAAAATTACATACTGCAATTGTGAGTATATTATTGCGAGGTCTGATACAAATAAACACACTAATACGATTACATCCTATCATGGTAATTTCTGAATTGTCTTTTCCGATCAGAGAACATTCCATACGTTGGAGCCAAGTACTTTTTATTTTATATTGCATAAAACTCATTTAGGATATTACCGAATTTACATACTACTATCCATTTCAAAATAGAATGTGTGTGATTACGATTCAAATAACTCCGAGGCCTCACAAGCAGCTGATCTGCGGTTTTCACCCTCATGTAGTCAGGCTCTTGGGACGTGGATCTACATAAGAAGAAAGTTTTTTGATAAATTCTTGAGGGCTTTTCTAAAGGGATCTGTGGGAAACCGTTTCATTATCCGGAATTTTAACATAGCCATATATTAGCTTCTTTTATGGATAGATAGGCTTAAGTGTTCTCTTTAGAAGAAGAGGCAAACGGGACCTTCATTTTCAGTGATTCAGACGTGTTATCGGGTTTCCTTAGAGCCCCAGGACTAGTACCAGGTGACTTGATGTGGTCTTGAAGTTGCACAGAACATACGTAATCGGCCACGCTTAATCTAATGGCAATGTTCATTCAAAAATAAGAGCTCAAGAACAATGTGACAGGTGGAGCCAATCATTAAGGATATGAAAAAGAAGCGTTTGGGTGTTACCTATTCAGTACAGTGCGTGATACTCACAAGAACTCCTTTGTTTTAGATCTTTCAGTAAAAACCGGAGCCAATCTGAATACTGTTTTGAATAGACCGATGATTTTTCTGTCAGATCAGGTGCATATCGACGTTTCATGAGAAAAGTTGATAATAGGATTTCTGAAAAACCTGCCCGGTGGAAAACCAAGTCTTTGGTTTTTGGTCAGAAAGTTTTACAAACCATATAGCCTGATAGAGCATAGAATTCTTAACAAGTAGGACATCTCATGGCTATCTGTAATGCTTTTTCACGCAGCTACATACAGTCGATTTACGAACGGCTATAACCTTCGTTAAAATTACCAAAACATTCTGGTGACAAAGCATTTCAAACAGCCAGAAGACGTCTTATTGTGTTCAGAATTTTACACGATATAAATAAACTGTATACTTAGCTTCTTGTTGCAAGGGGGGTTACCAAATCCAGCAGGGTCCTTTCTCATCCAACATAACATCTCCACTATAATCCAAAGATTTGTTTTCACTAACAGGGATTTCACATGAGACAGCTTCTTCAGCCTCAAAATGGGGGAAAGTATTGTAGAATGCATTGTTTCCTTGGCTGTAATCAATGAAAATTAAGAAATTCTCTCTTAGACTTCTCAAAAAAAGGAATGTTACTTGCTTTAGTGTAATATCAGTACTAATTAAGGTTATTGTCCGCCTTGGACAATCTTCACACAAACATTCACTTGGGTTTTCATAAGCTTGCATTGTTCGAACATATCTAAAAACATTTTCATCAACAGTACCACATAAATCATACTGATTTTTGCCGTTTACTGCTGAGAAATTTAATCTTTTATGAATGTTAAGCTAATATACACCAGGTGCATCCCAGGTATCATTTTCCACCAGCTGAAGTGTCTTACGTAAACTAGAATAGATAGGTTTTGTTTGACGATCAAACAAGGCTCGAAAATGGTCTGGATAAGAAATATAGACATAATACACAACGAACGAGTCTAATGAACATGGGTTAATAACAGAATATTTTGTGCCGTTAAAAACGGCACTTTTATTTAAATATTTAGGCCAAGGGATTGTTACTTTTTCAATTGAAGCTGTGAATGGACGTTCCAGTTGCGGCCATTGCTCAGATGCTTCTTTAATTTTTTGTCTTGTCTGATTGTTCTTCGTTGGTGAAGGTCGTGACTTATGGTTTAATGAGTTATTAGAAGGTGAACAATTAGATAATGAAGTAACGTTTAACGAGGAAGCGGTTCGTTTTGAAGATAATGCCGATATACTAGAAGTACGAGTTGTCGTATGATGGTCATTATATTGTTTGGGTTTTGTACCTTGACGTTAACTTCTTATCTCTGTAGTAGGAATGCCAATAGAATTAAGACTCAGAGTTGATAGAGCTGCTTTGATTACAAATGACTGAATCTTTCCCTTACGCTTGGACAAGCCAACTGGTGTAACGAAAAGCTTTTATCCAAAAGCTCAGCAGTATCATGAACGAAATTTGCATAGGGAATGATAGTTATAACCTATGTATTTAGTGTAAAACACTGTTAGGAAGTAGTTAACCTAATCTCATATCAATAGTTGTCATCTTTCAATATACATATTCTTATCGTCACTCGATGGTTATTTTCCCTTTCTGTTCTTCTGATATATGTATTCACTCTCTGCTTTT